GAGATCACACCACTGCACTCCCCAGCCTGGGCGACAGAGAGAGACTCCACCTCAAAAATAAATAAATAAATAATTTAAAAGTACAGACATGAAATGAAGCCTGCTTGGCAGAGCCTCTCCTTACTGCACTGACCCAGCACCAGGCATGGGGTGGGGACACCACATTCGTCATCTTCAGGAAAGTACATCACCCTTACTTTGCAGAGGAAGAAACTATAGCTCAGACAGGCAGGAAATCATCCCAAGTCACAAGGCAGGTCCCGGGTGGGCAGAGTCCAACCCAGGCTCCCCAGGTCCAAGGAAGATGCTCCGTCACACTCAACCCAGGCCAGAATGTTCTACGGCTCTGCAGGCCAGGGAGAGGCCCGGGAAGAGCAGGCATGTCCCAGGAGAGAGACGGCTTGTCGGTACCTTTGCTACAAGGACCCCTCCCATGGCGCCAGGCAGGCAGCTCCTTCCCCGGACCTTAAAGACCATGCCTGGGGACTGATGATTTGGGGCGTGGAGGGGGACCTGCTGAAAGAACCACAGCGTCCATGAGTGTGTGAAGAGGACTCCCTGAGATGTCTGGGGGTTAACGACAAGGCCGGGGAGAGATCAGGCAGCAGGTGCCCCCACCATGGCCACTGCTCTCCGCTCTGACCCCGGGCCAGCCCTCACTCCACCCAGACCTTAGATAGAGAAAACGGCCACATGCAGTCCATGAGCAAAGGGACCTCTCTGCACTCCTGGAAAACTTTACTTGCAAAAACTGGCAGGTGGACCAGTTTTCTGACTCCTGCTCTAAACTGGGACTAGCCACGGCCCTGATGGACGGTCTGCAGTGGCAGAAAGAGGAACCACCCTGCAGCGACATTTCCCCCCAGCCACCCACACACATCCAGGCGAGAATGCCCAAAGACCGCAGGTCCATGTCAGGTGCCCGAAACTAGCTCTTCCCAGAAAGGCTCAACGTTTTTTTCATTTATTCTTTCTAGCTAGGGTTTGAACCCATCAGAAATGTTCCATTTTATCACGAAAGGTGAGTCCGTTTCTCAGGAATTTATGGCACTGACTCATGGCCTAAGATCTAAAGGGCTTCAAATGAGCACCTGCTGAGGATCAGCACCGGCCACAGTGGGGAGGGAGTGGGGAGCCTCCAGCACGGCGGCACCATCACTCAGGGCCAGAACAGAAGATGACTCGTGGACAGAGCCAGATCCCCTACTGAAACGTGAAACCAAGTCCACCAGCGTCGCCGACACCCACTCACGGCCTCACACTGAGGCCACTGCAGCTCTCATCAGTGCTGGCTACACAGAACGTAATCTGCCATCCCTACTCAAGGTGATCCCACTTCTCTTCAAAGACAGAGCTCCTGCCCACATCCCATCACTTAGCCCTGTCTGTAAAATTCCTTTCATAGCCTTCCCACCCTCCAGGTCTTGCCAACACCACCCTGACTGCCCCGCCCCTCAGAGACCCATCTGATGCCACCACATCTGCAACCCTGAAACCGGGACAACGGCCCTGTTCAAAGGGCAAAAGTTCACATGCCATTTTCTCCAGGCCTGGCTCCTCTGCAGGAACCGAAGCTCCTCAAATCCTCCTGAACCTGAGTGGTTTCCAACCGTAAAGCAGTAGTATTTCCTGTTTCCTCTGAACTCCTGCGTTATCCCCACACTAAAGCAGGGGCTGGCTCAGCAACAACAAACCCGACTTTGTTTTCGAGAGCGCCTACAGGCCAGGGACCATGCAACACGAGAGACCGAAGCAAAGTCTCTGGGAAGCCGTATTCCACCTGGCCTCCCCTTAGGGACACCATGGAAGAGAAACATGACCGAAGAGCAGATGAGCAGATGCCGAAATGCACAACGCAGCCAGTCCTGCTGGAGGAAGTCCTGGGGGGGGGGAGCGAGAATTCACACCGGGCTGTCTAGAAAGAGAACTTCCTGGCAGCAAGAGGGCCCTTGGAACAGTAGGGTAAGGTTTGGAAGCATGGGGCATGGCAGGCGGTGGGTCCCAAGCTGGACCCTGAAGACTTGGTTGAGGCAGTCACAGGCCTGAAGCTTAGATTGGGGCCAGAGGGCAGTCAAGTCAGCCCCCTTATGTGCACACGTTCACATCCTCCCTAACAACCAGTCAAGAGCTCCCTCCCTGCCAGTCAGGGTGCTTCAGCAGGGTGCGCTCCCAAACCCTCGGGCACGCAAAGCTTCTGTGGTTTCTTGGGAACTCTTCCCCCTTAAATCTCCCCACCCAGCTCCTATCCCGAGCCCCACATTCTGCAAGCCCAGGTGCTCATTACACACTAGTCTAATGCCAGGCAGGAACTCTTCCATCCATGCTTAAGTCCACCCCTAGGAATATTCTTTCATTAATCTGAACTCTGAGGTAAGGGTTTGAAGATTTTTTTGAGGCGTCTCAATCTGTCGCCAGGCAGGAGTGCAGTGGCTCGATCTCTGCTCACTGGAACCTCTGCTTCTTGGGTTCAAGCAATTCTCCTGCCTCAGCCTCCCGAGCAGCTGTGACTACAGGTGTGCACCACCATGCCTGGCTAATTTTTGTATTTTTAGTAGAGACGGTTTCATCGTGCTGGCCAGGCTGGTCTCAATCTCTTGACCCTGTGATCTGCCCGCCTTGGCCTCCCAAAGTGCTAGGATTACAGGCCTGAGCCACCGCACCGGCCCGGCTTGGAGATCTCCACAGGTGAATCAACATCCTGTTTATCTTCCATCATGTGATTAATGGCCTCCCACTCCTGACACCCCTTCCCCTCCTCCTCAGATTCCTCACTCAGGATTTAATTATCTAGGAGGAATCTCCTGGGACATTCTTTCATCAGAGCCACAGGAGAAACAAAGATATGAAGCATTTTACACATTTCCTCATTTGAGATCAAACACTTTGGTAACACGACTCACATGAATTAGCACTGCTCTTCTGGCAAATTGTCTGTGACTAAAACTAACCTTAGTTACTCCAATTATTGTACGAGACAGACTGTATCTGCTCTATTACCTTCACGTTCTGCATTTGAGTTCTACAGTTTGGAAATCAAATGTGATTACGTGGGATGACAATTAAAAGAGCAAGTACAATACACACATGTTCGGAAAGATCAATTACACCCCAAGGAACTGATTCCTACAGTAAAACATAATTCCTAACCAAGCCTTAAGAAGCAGTCAAATAAAAGGATGAACCACCTTAACTGTGCTAAAGTTAATCAGCTCTGAATCAAGTGCTCCAGCCTGCCATTGCCTCAATGACCCCAGGGGACAAGAGCAATTGAAAATTAACCTAATATACAAAACAGGAATGCTTGAATAGAAAGCCAAGGGAGTGACCACCAAGCTTTGCTATTCAAAAACAAAACAACCAGGGCTGGGCTCGGTGGCTCACGCCTAGAATCCCAGTGCTCTGGGAGGCCGAGGCAGGCGGATCACCTGAGGTCGGGAGTCTGAGAGCAGCCTGACTAACATGGAGAAACTCCGTCTCTACTAAAAATACAAAATTAGCTGGGCATGGTGGCACACGCCTGTAATCCCAGCTACTCGGGAGACTGAGGCAGGAGAATTGCTTGAACCTGGGAGGCGGAGGTTGCGGTGAGCTGTTATCACACCACTGCACTCCAGCCTGGGCAACAAGAGCGAAACTCCATCTCAAAAGATAAAAAAAAAAGACAAAAGAAAACCCAAACAGTAAAACAAACACCCACACTTAGAAAAGGAAAAATCACAGCTAACAAAAGCCTACTTCTATCCTGGAGATGACTGTCATTTCCTGGGAGGTCAATTCTCTGAGTAGAGGGCTTGCGCAATCGAGCAATGGAAACACTTGGAAGTTGTGGGGTGAGACAAGAGTGCTGGCATCTCAAACCCTCATTTCTTCCCACAAGGCTGGCTTAGCAGTGATTCCACAGTTCTCATTTCCTGATCATGGTCATGCCATGCTGACAACGTTCTCAGTCGGGCTTCTCAAAGTTGAAGAGGGATCCGAACCTTTCTGGGAAGCCTCATGCATGGTAAAATGTTGGCTGCCAAGGCACAAAGCCAAGTGCAATCATGTAAGCTCCACTGAAGGACCCAGCAAAATTAGTGTAAGGCTTGTGAACTGCCCCGAATAAATATACGTAACAACTTCTTCAAACAAGCATTTTTCTTCGTTTCGGTCCTGCACAACCCCCAAGGTCCTATTCCAGTTCCACAACTCTTGATAAGTAAAGGTATTAAAACGGTTTGTATTACCATCTGCACGACGGCATGATCATCTCGCTTGATGCAAGACAAGCTGCAAAGCAACCTGGAAATTCCGGTCATTTTGCGAGGACAGTGGGAAAACGAAGCCAATTAGAAAGCAGATTGAAAGATTCCCTACCTGGCCCTTCACGAGCTTCCCTAAAGCAACCCTTTATATGAGCAACATTCTCTTCGAAAATCATACTATATACTACGGACGCATCTTCTAAGAGGTGCTGAGTGGGTGCTGCGTGCTGTGGATGGAAAGGATGGAGCGCCAACTCTCTAAATGCAAGTCACTGGGAAAAAAAAGGGCCGCCCATGTCAACCCCCACGCCAGCGTTAATTCAAACGTCCAGAATGTGAAAGGGCAAACCAACGCAGGGGTTCTGCTTCCAGAGCCAGCAAGTACCCTGGCACGGAGAAGAGAAGGCGTTCACACACCCTGGGCAAAAGAACCCAGTGAGAAAAAGAAAGTAGAATCACAGCAAAGTCCGGGGTCCGGGAGCCTCCTCCACCGAAGAGCATAGAGGGCTAGAAAGAGACACCCCAAGGTGAAGCGACTAAGGATCCTCGAAGGCGGTGCACGCCAGGGCGCCATCCTCGCCCTCCCCTCCCAGGTTAGGGGGTCGAGGGAAGCTGGGAACGAGCTGGCGACAAGGTAGCCCGGGGCTCAAAGCTACCTTGAGAGGAGCGTCGCCCGCTCCCGCTGAGGTCTCCTCCGTGCTGAGCACGGCATGCGGGACGGCCCGGACCCTCCCGGCCAGCCCGCGCGGCCCTCACCTTGTCCGAGTCCAAGTCGGGGTCGGCCTGGCACAAGCGGTACAGGAAGGATTTCGGGTCCCGACACAGCGTCTGCCGAGTGGTGAGGAAGTAGGTGCCGCCGACGTTGAGCCGGACCCACTTGGACACGCTGCCGGGGCGCTGGGCCAGGGCGCCTAGCCCCGCGCTGCAGCGGCGGCACAGGCCGCCCCCCAGCCCCGCCCCGAGGCCGCCCCGAGCCGGCGGCAGGAGCTCGCAATGATTCTCCGCCATGATCCCAGCAAGCCCCGCCACAGCTCCCCTCCACCGGAAGCGTCCGGTTTTTAATACCGTCCTCCGAGTTCTGTCCCGCCCACAGGTCCGCCCTCGTAAAGTGCCCGCCCCGGCGTCACGCGGCAGGCGGAAGTTCCGGTTCGGAAAAGTGGCCGACTGTGCCCGCTTCCGGCGGGAGCGGAACGCGGCGTGGCCGGAGCGCCAACGCTGGCGGGTGGTGGCGGAGACCGGCCCCAGGCCCCCGTACCAACGGCGCGCGGGCGCCTGACCGAGACCTCGACAATCACCCCGAACCCCGACCCCAGTTCGTGCCCCGGTTAAAGGAAGAGCCAGGCCAGCAAACGTCTGCACTCTACATGCTTTTTATTACAAGACTACCGAGCATACGAGGAAAATTCATCATGTGGTAACTACACCTAATGCACAAATATTTGGGCAAAAAAAAAAAACCAACAGATTCATTAAATTATATGATTAAATCATTGACCAAATAGAAAATTTATATAATAAAGCCAGAAAAAAAGTTGTAAAATATAGTTTACAATAATTATTCACATTCAAGGCTGTACATCAATACATACAACAACGTGGCCCCGAACATGAATTCAATCCAAATAATTCATATATTAGAATTTAAATAACACAGACTGAACTAGAGGCCAACAATAGCCAGCAAATAACCTTATATAAGAATAAAAATACAAAAGTGTATCTCCTAGTATCGTTGCATTATTTGTTTTCATAATTCTCTTCATGTTTGCTTTGCCTGTACATCACAGTTACAGCTACAGACCAGGTAGAGGGTATTACGCATGTTCTAGCCGACTGCCACCCACCTGAAGGCCCTACTGTTCATTTACCCTATTTTATGTTGTTAAGGAATGGCGACAGCAGCTCTAAATACTGTAACAATATAATTTTGCCCATGTCCAACTTACAGTCATAATACAGGCTTTTACCGGCAAAATGACCTCTATTGATAGGCATTCTGCCAGCTGGTTAGGCTACGTGGGTAACACAGCTAAAAAAAAAAAAAGGTCTGCCTTTTGTAAAAAGTTCTCTGTACATAGTTTGGTGTTTCTTCATATTGAAGAAATGAGTTCTGGGGAAAATTCAGGTCCACACACAGCCTCGTTCAGCTGCTCACCACAGCCATCTCAACAGATAAAAGTGTTCTCTATTGGAAACAGCTTCCTTCTCAGACGGTTCTCCACAGGCAGCCTCATCTACAACCCTGCAATCTTGGGCCAGAAGTAGTGGCTCCTCCCACATGTGCTGCCCAAGAAGGGACCCCACCCAGTGAGTCAACAGAGGTTCAAGTCAGGTTTGAAAATAACTGGGGAAAAGTGTATGAAAACTTCCAGAACATAGTACCTTCACCGTATTCTCAAAGCAGCTGCGATCTCTGAAGTCTCAGGAGTGAGCACCCCGGGTCTGTGGACCAGCCAGGCGAGGGGTCCTCAGGGCTTCAGAGGAGGGCAAGAAACCAAATTGTGTGCAGTCTGGCCATAATCTCTGGTAGAGTGAAGCAGCACTAAACATGGTGCCTAGAAAACCCTGCTGCATGTTCCCCCTCAGAATCAATGGACCACAACTAAAGTGGAGAAGTTAAAATTTGCAACCAAATTTGGGTGGTCTGGACTTGACGCCAGCCAGGCAATCTGCAACGCGTGGGCAGGGAGTGGGGCGGAGGCGGCCTGAAATCTACACCAGCTGGGACAACCACGCCCTGCAGTGAAAAGGCCAGCCTGGCTGCTGGGCTCTTCTGAACCACCAAGACCTTACAATGTGGGATGGAGACAAATACACTCTTGTAAACCCAATCAGCTACATGGTTTTTTCCAAGTAGTCTTTGCTCTGCTACTCCAAATGGCCTATGTACTTTCGGAGTCTATAAACTTAATTACAAATCGCTCACTAAGCATGTGGCAAGGTCAGTTCGACACTTGTTATCTCTGCTGACAGTGCAGATGCAAATTCAGTACCATTGTGGACACAAAGTACAAGATTCTGAAAATATCACCAAGCACTTGAAAGCCACAGCAGCGTGGATGGAGGAGAGCTAACATGCAGGCGGAGCCAGGATCTCGCAATGCAAGAGAGGAAATCGGCTCCTCGAAAAAAATCTGCCACAAATGGACTGCAGTAATGACATTATCTTAGCATTTAAAAAAGAGCGGTCTTATTCAAACATTCTTTGGAACACACAGTTTATCAGAAACTGCTCTGTTCAGAATCTGCAGGATGCAGCTAAGACGGCTCTGCTGCTGGAGCTCTGAGCATCTAAACATCAGTGTGAGACAGAGAGAAGTATCTTCAAAATGAACACACTCTTTGACCTCAAAATACCACTGCTAGGCATCTAAGGGGAAAATGAAATCAGTTAAAAAAAAAAACAAAAGATTTTAAGATATTCATCACAGCATTATTTAAATAATGGAAAAATCAGAAACCACTAAGTATTTTAGAGTAGGGAGATGGTCAGATAAATTACAGTAAAGTGGACAATGACTAAACCCTACAATTGTTAAAAACATGTCTCTGAGAAACTCCTGACATGGGAAAATGCTTCAGATAAAATCAAGTGAGAAGACAATGCAAATGGTGTGTGGTGAACGTTCCCAATAGAGTTTAAAAGTGAACAGACGGTGGGGCAGGATATAGGCCAAAATGCTCACAGTGGTCTTCTCTGGGTGGCGGGCCTACAGCTAATCTTGTCAGAGACAAATGTTTTGAGTGACTTAGAGCCCTCTGCTGGTGCCTGGGGGTCTGTGCCATGGGACAGTCTCCGCAATTCCTCTGGGCAAGGGCCACAAATTCCACAGTATGTCCAAAAAAGGCCAGAGTAGGCGGAGTACCCAGCAGCTGTGGCATAACCAGCCATCTCTCTCAAAACGAATTGTTAACAAGGCTTCCACAAGTTAAGGTTCTACATGGTAGCCGTGGTGCAGAGCCATTCACTAGAGCGAAGAGGCTCTTTGCTCTAGCTGGGGCTAAACAGAGGGGAGAAAAGAATCCCACAGAAGCCAGCCCCCAGTCTGTCCCAAGAGAAAGGCAAGGCACCTGGACCACCTAAGCCAACAGACTCACAGCCCCCTCCCCTCTGTGCCAAGAAGCCGCACAGGGTCTGGTCCTGACCTTCCACCTATTTCCCACGTGAGGAGACACGTGGCCCAGTTCTATTAAGTAGCAGGTGCCATCTTCCTCACCTTGGATAAACCCACCACTGTAATTCCACGTAAGCACAGGTGATCCCCCACGTTCCACCGCAGAATGTAAGGCACCTGCATGCCAGATGATGGCTCTAAGGATGTGCTAGATAAAACGAGTTGACATGAACAAGCACAGGTAAGGGAAGAAAACACACGGGCCTTTAAAAAGGTAAGAGAAAGGGGCTGGCTGAGGAGAAACGTGACCCACAAGAAGGGCTTGGCTGTCACTAGCTCAGGCAACGGCCATCATTTCAGCTGTCAGGTGCCATCTCCGGCTCTGAGCCCCTAGTTCTGAGCTTTGGAGGTTAAGATAGCGCTTGTCACTGACGCCCAGGAGGTGGTGTTCTATGCAGAGTAAGAACGCACGGAAGAGTCTCCCCAAGCAGCCCAGCCGAGTACGCCAATCAAAGCCTCGTCCCAGATCTGCTTGTTTCCCTATGACCAGATGCCCTGAGAGCTGCCTTTTCTGTGCCTGCATGTGCAATTAGGAGGGTTAGGAAGCCACTCTCATACATGCAGACACAGGACGTTCTGAAATGGGTAAAACAGCTGATAAGGAGGAGTAAGCCTGAACAGAAATTCCTGAAAAGGCCAAGAGAGACTCCCCAACACAGGCAAGCCTTTCCAAAAGCCAAGAGAGAGGACTACGACTCCAGCCACAGGCCCAGGGCCATGTGCTGGGCCCCGGAGCGACCTGCTCCCTTGGGCGCCCCAGGGCAGGTGCGGTTCAGGACACTCCAGCTCACAGTCACAGGCTGACATGCAGTTTTTGCACAGCAGCCGCCAAGGCCCAGGCAGAAACCACAGGCAAGGACTCGGGAACATCTGCCCTCTTTGAGGCCCCCATCTGCACTTGCCTAGCTACAAAGAGCCACTCTTGTCATTAGCAGTGTCAAAAGGACACCTTCCCTCTCAATTTGGACCTGGCCTGGCACACAGGGTCACTGATGAGTCATCTGTAACTTGGGGGTAGGGGCCAGGGAGGGTGGACACGGTTGAGCCAGAGCCATGTCTGTGGGCAGCAATGTCTGCCTCTCCCGCATGGGACTGAGGGCTGCCCTCCAGGGACAACCTGGGTGGAGAGAGAAGGGCCCAGCCCTGCCAGGCCACCAGGAGCTCTCTCTGCCAGGGAAGTAGCAACGGAAAGGACAAATGCATCTGGCCCGTCTGTGCTACAGAGCAGGGCAAGGCCACCAAAGCATCAAAGGGCAACAGCCCCAAAACCAGCAGAGGAAACTCAAGACCAGCTGTGGCTGAAATGCGCTGTTCTTGCTTCCTGTGCAACCGTAATGGGGAAAGTCCACTCTTCGTGAGACCAGATGAGCCGGCAGCATGAGAAGGCTGTGAGATTTTCAACAGAGATGTAGAAACTCTGAGTTCACTCTGAGAAATGTTTAACCACAACACAAAAGGGGTGTGTGTGATGCTGGCGCCTGCACTCCCCAGTGCTGTCCGCAGGAAACGGAAGCACCCCAGCTCTGCTGATGCCAGGGTTCTCTCAGACCCTACGTCACCAAGTGGGGAGGCCTGCATATTTAAACCTTTTAGGAGGCCCTCAGGCCTCTCTCCTCCACACAGAGGTCAGCAGGCCCTCTCTGCTCTGGCTGGATTCTCCAAGGCACCTCCTGGCCCCACCCAAGGCTTGGAGCAGGACTCTCTCTCATGCAATAATCTGGCTGCGTGCTAATTGGGCTCACCTCTGACGGCACCGTTTCCAGCCTGCATTTGGCTTCCAGCCCTAGAGACCAACACTGCTCAGTAGGACAAGGGAGCCAGGGCCCTGGGACAGTGCCCTCCACTCAGCAGCCTGCTCCTGCGCCACTCCACCCCCTCCTGCTCCTCACCACGAGTCTGCCT